AGGCTGGCAACGACCACCATAGAGGTGGGTGAAAAAACACTGCAGCTGGGAGAAGGTGGATAAACGGGTGAGGAGATGGGAGGTGGCTGGTGGGGACGTGGTGGAGCCAGAGTCCCGCCTGCCAGGAGCAGGGAGGGGCCGTGAGGTGCCTCGGGGCAGTGGGAAACCTGATTTGTTTGGGCTCCTCCGGACCTATTTGTGATTTATCTCACTGCATCTATCAGGAACATCGCTTTGCCTTCCTTCTCTCTCTCTCTCTCTATATATATGTATATAAAACCTCAGCTCTCCTTCTGCCCAGCCATTCACGCCTCTCACTGTTTCTCTTTCTCCCTCCCGCCGTGTTTATAAAGCACGCATCGCTTCGGTTCCTGAGTGACTCAACCCCGACACCGGTTTTTTAAAACTTGAGGCTTGGAAGGGAGGCCACCCGCTCGCCGCCTCAGCTGCCGGCTGTTTTCAGGGTAAACGCTAACGGGAAGCTCTGAGAAAACTAGAAAGCAGCTGCGTCGTTGTCGCTGGCGGGGGCCCCCTCACCCTGGAGGCAAGCTCTTACGTAATTGCGGCATGAACTCCCGCTTTCCGAAGATCTGGTTATGCCAAAAAAAAAAAAGGCGGAGGGGGTGTCCAAAAAAAAAAAAAAGGGAAAAAAAAAGCAACCAAGAAAAAGTCCTCACTCACCCACTGACATGTTTCTCTGGACAGGATCGAGCAGGTGGGGTGGCAGCGCCAGGCAGAAGAGGAGTTCATCTTCCCCCGCTCGCCCTCACCAGGCGGCTCTGGCACCAGGAGCTGATGCCTGCTGACTCCCCGTGGCTGCGTTGGTCCCCGAAGGTAAGTCCGTGACAGCTCGGTGTCAGTAGATTAATAGCATAGGGGCTTTTTTGGTGGTTGTGGGGCTAAGCAGCAGCAAAAGCACTGCCAGGAAACCATTTCAGGGCTCGTCCCTGGCCCACTACCAGCTTTCCTGGGACATGGGAGACTTTCAAAGCAAAAATTCCTGTTATTTTTTCCTTCTGTGTTTCCTTCT